GCGCGGGGAGACGGCCCTGCCCGCCCCCAGGTGGGCTCCCGTCGGAGCCAGGTGCACGCATGGAAGGCCGCGGCAGCTCCTCCCAGCTGTCTGCGTGGACAGTGCCCGTCGGCCTCCGCGCCCAAGGCCCACAGCGTCCGGACGTCGGTTCCTAACTGCGCGGGCGCTGGGCGCGGTCGAGCTGCGACGCTGGCGGTCCACCGCTTTGCCTGTCGTCCTGGTCAGCCGCGGGCATCGCTCCCCACCCGCCGCCCCGTGGGGGCAGCCCGGAGGCGTGGCGGTGGGCTGGCCTGGACAGAGCGGGCTGCTGGTTATGCCGAGGGCGGCCACCTGGGGGCGCGTGCGATGGCCAGGGTCCCTCAGCAAGCCTTGCAGCGGCTCCGCCAGGCGGGCCTCGGAAATGGGGCGACCGCCCGCCCACTCCCGGACGGAACCCGGCAGGTGGACTCACTTGCTGCGGCGACCGCTGGCGGTGGGGAGCGGATTCGAGCCCAGGCGGCCGGCTCCTGGGCCCGCACCCCGCACCGCTGCGGCGGGACACCCCTTCGCGGCAACTGCAGACACTCGTGTCTCCCCACGGGCTTCCTGTTGTATCGATTTGGAACTTTCCCACTGCCCTTGACAACTGCCAATCCAGGCTCGCTGAGGCAAAGAACTCCACTCAGCCAGGCGTGCTTCAGGCGCGGCTGGGTCCAGGAGTCAGGAGAAGTAGCGAGGGGCTGCAGCGCCCCCCGGCCCCCACCCCCACTCAGATGCCGCCATGGGGACTCGCCTCCGACTCTGTCCCACAGCGCTCGCTCTGCGGCCCTCACTGCCGGCTCCATTTGGGCTGGTAGGGACGGCCCCCAGCTCCCGAGTCCCCGGCGCCCCGACAGAATCCCCGGGAAGAGCGCAGCTCCGCCTCCCCTGCCCGACGCCAGGTGGGAGCCCCGGGGTCTCGGGGGGGCGCGGAGGCCCTCACGCACAGCCGCCTCTCCCGCCCCCCCAGAGTGGTGAGCAGCTGGATCGAGAGGCGCAAGGTGCAGTCGGAAAAGGCCAACCTGATGATCCTCTTCGACAAGTACCTGCCCACCTGCCTGGACAAGCTGCGCGTCGGGTTCAAGAAGATCACGCCGGTGCCCGAGGTCACGGTCATCCAGACCATCCTGTACCTGCTGGAGTGCCTGCTGACCGAGAGGAGCGCCCCGCCCGACTCCCCCAAGGAGCTGTACGAGCTGTACTTCGTGTTCGCCTGCTTCTGGGCCTTCGGCGGGGCCATGTTCCAGGACCAGGTGACCGGCCGCCG